TTCAGATTTAAAGAAGTTTAGTCTCGGACATTTAGACTTTAATATCCCCTTAGTGTAAATATAAAAGGTGAACCATTTCGAGGTTCTCTACTTTTTAAAGAAAAATACACAGAAACCTCAAATTTTATACGGATCATTCGATGGAAAATTTTTTCGCATTTATTTTTTGAAGATTACCCTTTTTAAATGTTGGACGCGGCTACGTCTCAGATGGTGCATCTGCTGAGTTCGATTTTCGATGACTCGTTCGAGCATTTCGACAGAACACAACTTGTGCAAAAACTGAAGCCGCTGAGCTCTTAAAAGGTTCCAAGAAGAAGATTCGACCTTTTCGAGCCAAATTTAGTTCAGCGATGATTCTCATTTTTGGCTCTATCGGTATATAAACAAGAAAAATTTCCGCATTTGGGACGAAAAGCAACCTTAGGAGATTCAAGACCGGCCATTTTATCAAGAACAAAACTTGGTTTGGTGTGGTTTGTGTTTTTGAAACCGTCAATGGTGACCATTATCGCGCCATGATAACCAACTATTTGATGCCTGAAATTGAAGTTCGTGATCTTGGCGACAATGTCTTTCAACATCAATCAATGGATTTATTGAGAAAATATTATGCTGAGCAGATTGGCCATTAAGGTCGTGTGATATCTCACCGTCAGACTCTTCCCTGTGGGGATATGTAAAGTCTAAAGTCATCGACAATTGAACTCAATGGATGGATATTTTGAGACATACAGGGTTTGTCCGGAAAGTTAAAACCTTTCAAAATAGGCTTCTTCTGCGTCGATGCAGTGCTGCCAGCGCGTTTTCCAAGCATTGAAGGCATCACGGAAGACATTCCCCGGAATAGCCTTGAGAACCGAGGAGCAAGCTGCTTGGATCCCCCTGACGTCTCAAAATGCTTGCCTATCATCGACCTTGTCTCGGGATCATATTCAAAGATCCATGACTTGTCACCTCTGATTATGTTATTCAAAAATTGGGGGTCACTTTCACACATGTTCAAATTTTTTTGGCTCTCTTCCACTCGTCGCAATTTCTGGTCGTCAGTGAACACTTTTGGGACCATCTTCGCCCTGACCTTGCGCATATTCGAGTGCTTCGTCAGAATGTTACGAACCACAAATTTTGAGAAACTTAACATCTGGGCAACTAAACGAATACTTGTCGGTGTTTGTCGAAGTAGTCGCAGGTCTCTCAACACGGTCTTCATCAGCGACTGCTTTCCAGCCTTCCAAAAAGACCTGGTGCGACCGAAACACAGCACTTCTTGCTACAGCAAATTCTGTGTTAGCCTGCTTGATCATATCAAACGTCTCTGTCGCAGATTTACCGAATTCCATACAGAATTTAATCGCTTACCCCTGCTCTAACGAACGCTGCATTTTCGGCTTACATCACTCACAGAAACACGTCGCGCGAAAATGTTTGCGTTCGTAGACAACTGTGCAGCCGCTCGTTCGTTAGCTTGGAACGCTCTCTACCGAATCCAGTCAGTCGTTCCGAAGCCCCGTGGCCGCAGACAACATTTGAAAGAGAAAATCATCAAAAATTAAATGCCAAATAATGTGCTTTTGAATGATAATAAACATTCCTCATTAAATTTGATATTTCTGTGTTTTTTCTTGAAAAAAGTAGGAAACCTTAAACTGGATCACCCCTTAAATCCATATGAAATATATCATTGTGAGCGAAACAACTTGTGTTACGTATGAGTAACTTTTTCATACCCTCTTTGAATAACTTGAACCAATCAAACACACTTGCACGCGACAAGCAATTATGACCGAAAACCTTTTCTAACATTCTGGACGCGTTGGTACCAAATTGCAAGTTAACTTCCTTATGAAATAATTTAAAACATCGTAAAAATTGTCGAATACCCTTTATGTACAAACTTCAGAGAGACAAGCGTATAGAAACACTAATGATTATTTTTCTGTGTTTCTGACAGTCATACCAAGTTAAAAAAAAAAAATATTCCTAATAGGATTTCAGCTCGAATTTTAAATGAAAAAGTCTTACTTACACTCATTGAAATACTTACTATTTCAATAGCACTCACTGCAAATGTGATTTACACCTTTGTCAGCTTATTTAACAATTAACTTTAGTAAATAAAACGATTTTCTAGGATTTTTTTTAAATTTTATTGTTTCTTTAATTTTTATTAAATTCCATTTAATCTTACGGTATAATTTTTTTTGTTCTTTTTTGTAATACCAATTCACAAGTACTATTGTTTTTCATTACTATGGATCTGGTTGTTGTTGTTGCTGTTGTTTTGCTTTGTTTACACAACAGATATTCATTTGTGAAAACTTTCATTATTTTGCTTTTATATGTTTTTGTGTTTTTTAATTTTAATTATTGTTGACGGCAATCTAAATATGTTGGAAATACTCTGTTGCAAATGCACCACCCTGTCTCCGCATTATTAAGCATATTCATGTGTGTGTGGGTGTGCTTTTTAAGAGCGTGTGTATGTGTTTTGCTTGTTGCGTCTACAGCTCCCGCCAGCTTTTAGCAGACTATTAAGCTTTCTATTATACGCGCTTGCAATTTTTTGCTTACCCACACACACACACACACTCTGAATAAGCGCTCTCAAGCACACTCGCTAGCTCATATGCGTCTCGCTTACACAATGTTGGCTTAATAACTGTTCATAATCATTTACTATTCATTAATTAATTTTATTTTTTAAACATATTGTTTTGTTGTTGGAATTATTACCAGACTCGAAAATTTCAAATGCGTTTTTGTGTGTGCTCCTGCTTCTTCCATGTTGTTTTTGTTATTACTTTTACTTTTTTTTTACCGCTAAACACAAAAACCATTTAAATGCACGCATAAACGCACGGTTTTTTCTTGTTGTTTTTGTTGGGTTTAATCAATTTAAAAACGACTTAATATTAATTTTTGGTTTTAATTGTACATAATGAGTAATAAAATTTGTTTTTGTTTTTGCTTTTCCTCTTTTATACTCTGTCTCACATACATGTTTTTATGCGTGTCTGGGTGTGTGTTTTCGTTTTTGTTATTGTTGTTCTTTTTTATTTGTGCGCTTTTAGTTTTGCGCAAAACTTTGTTTGCTAACTTTTTTATTTGATTATTTAATGCTTTTGTTGTTGGTTTTTTGTATATTAATATTCATACATTCATTACTTGCTTTTGTTGTTATTCGAAAATTAAAATGCCATTATTTCCAACTGTAAAATATTTAATTGCAATTAGAAATGCTCAGTAAACATACTGTTTTATAATATATATATATATAGATAGATTGTTTGCCATTGCCAATTACGCCAAGTAATCTGCTTGTAATTTATTAATACTTTAAATATTTTAAATATTATATGTGCTTTGTGGTCACAGTTGTCATATGCAAAGCTTGACTTTTATTATTATCAAATATGTATGTAATTATTGGCGTAATGTTCCCTATAACGGTATTAAAAATATTTTGTAATGGTTGATACTCACAAAACCATTCCCATATAGATACATACTTTACAAAAAACATATGTCATCCAAGATGTACATTACACTACCCCAATCTGCTTTGGGAAGACAATTAAGAAAGGTTCGAAGAATACCTCCATTGAGAAGGTTTTGGTCGTTGAACTTGTGGGTTGTACTTCTTATTGAACGTTTGATCTAGAGACAAGAATTCATACTTCATTACGCTATTAAAGTTTAAAAATATTTTTAATTTCTTCGCTTCGAATGAACCGATATATTTGAACCGACTATAATCAAGTGTTGCCCTAAAAACAGTTAATTTTATGTCGCAAGGTCTAAGTTTCATAATAATAAAAAAAATGTTTAAAATATCATCTAGATGTTTGCTTCAAGAGTATTGACAATTAGCTCTTGTTTTTGTAGCGCCAGATTTCTACTGAATTGACAGTCCTTGGTCGGATGAAAATGCAGGTCCCGACCTAACTGTCAAGTAAACGGGATAATGAATCCTCTTCAGCTTTGATTCCAAAAACGATCTCTAATAGGTTTAATCTAATGTCGTAAGTCCGATTTTGCTAGATTTTCTTTTGCCAAATGTTTCTCGTCTTAAAACACCCTCCCTTCTAATGGCTGTAGTCAAGTTCTTGACATCATTGTCTACAATCATAATATAGTACTCTGAAAAATCTTTGATTTAAAAACTATTAACATCATCGATAAATACTTCAACCACGATATCCAAATTAGAATCAGAATAGGCATAAAAATGTCTAACGAATGTCGCTTAATGTCGCGAACACCTTTCCGATCTCCGCGACTCTTTATAACTACTGTCTCATGGTGAAAACTTTTTAGTAATGTTCTAAAAAGTGTTTGGTGTTCAATTCGGCAATACTTTTCTCGGAGTTCTCCTTTTGACAAAGCTATTTTGGAGAAGAGTTTCGAAGAACCGAATGAGTCTTGTTGTGCGGACTTAGAAAATCCAACTCGTTCAAAATTTAAACAGAACGGTGTGTTAAATGGGCTGAGGGAATCATTGGTCTATATCTCTTCAAGAATCTAGCCGTCAAAAATGTTACACGCTATAGCGTATGGCCGAGAAACAGTCAATGGTTGAGGCGTGAACTTCAATATTACGCGCATGTCGGTTTTGTGAAGTCGCTTGTCTAAAAGCTTCAATAGATTTATTCTTAAGAATAGAATATTCGGCGCAATATTGCTTACATGAGGCCCCCATTGCTGCAAAAATTGGCTGAAAGTTTTGACTAGGTGGATTTTATACGAGCTAGCTGCGGTGGTCCATTGGCCCAAATAATTCTTAGACACATAATGGCAGACCCTTATTTTTAAAACTAAGCTAAAGTCTGGACCATAACATTAAGTTATATATGTTTACTTTATCTAAATAAAACATCCTTTAGCTTTGGAATAGTCCTGGACAAATCTAACTTGAAACGATCGATATACAAGCTTGTTGGATACTTTGTCTATGTTGTAACAATGAGAATTCATATGATTTATCGAGTTCTTGTCAATTAACGAAACGAAGATTCATTATGAGGGAGAAGGGAATAAGAGAGTATTTAAGACTGAAAAAGGCTTACGACTAATTTAGCGTGAATTAGCACAGCTTAAAATCTGCACCGATTTTCTCGAAACATTCCCATTATTACTTTACATACAGTCGGATGAAGAGCATCGAATTGTCAGTAATGGTTTGCGTGTGTCAAATTTTGCCAAAGAAAGGTGGATAGTGCCAGACTAAGTTCACAATTTACTGTTTTGTATTTATGTAATGCTTGTGATAGCTGTATATTGTGGAAGAGACGCTGAGATTTCAAGTCACTAAAGTAGAGAAGTAAGATGTTCCCATTGTTGGTTTAATCCATCATTTGGGAAAAACATCAGTGAAATGTAGTTCATTGGCTTGTGTCCCAGTAATTCCTGTGAGGTATAGTTTTGACATAGTTTACATGGAAGAAAGGAGCTCATTGGACTCCTTATGATATATATGTACCTATCAGAGTTCTAACCTGCTGTTGACTCTAAGCTCAGTTGCGATCAGTGAACATACGAGTTAAGCTGGTCTATATTTTACCCAGTAGATTACCTGGCGTGGCGTTGGCACACAAAATTAGTTATCTGTAGAACGAACTATGAAACGTTTTAACTTTCTCGGCTTATGTAGTAAATCTATATTAATAATAAAACATTAAAAATGTATAACATCATATCCATGGCTTTGGTGTTGGCTTATTTGTATGTAATTATTATTTTTTTTTTTTTTACTTTTTATTTTGTTTTTTGTTTTCTGTGTTTCTGTGTATGTGTAGTAGTTTGTGTAAACCTATGCAATGATACTCAACTATTTTGGCCTTCATCGAAATTTACATACATCAATGTAAACCTTCTGCTTATACCCTGCTCACCTTTGATATTTATGCATTTTAATGACCTTAATATTAAACACGAGCACAACTCTCGGGTCAACAAACGTTACCTTTGGCCTGTAAGAGCTCTGTTGTGACCAATTTATAACTCATAAACCATTTTCTTATCTCCCAAATTGACATGCTATAATTTTCCCTTTTTTATGCTTTAGCCGCTTACTTTGTCATTTAAATCCGAGTTGTTAAGCTGCGTGACGTTTGCAACAATTATTATCTGCCTCTACATATCTTTGTGTTTTCTCAGCCTAAGCTATGCTATGCCTCGCAAACAACTATTATCTCCGCCTTAGTCCGCGTTTCACTTTGTTTTTTAATCTTAACTACAAACTTAGTTAGCTGCGTTTTAAGTAAATATATTTTACTCGGTTTTGTTTTTGTTTCGCCTCATATGCGGGAGAACTCAACCCTTCAAACTTCTTACCTCGTACTTGTGTTACCTCATATGATCATCCCGCCCTCAGCACTCCCTCATTCAACGCACATAGTCCGCTTAACCTAGAATCTTCTTGAAATAGCTGACAGTTTCCGGTTTGGTCAGCACGCGATGGCGATTGGGCTTGTAGGGCGGCGTCTCGGTCTCCTCCTTCAGAAAGTTGCGCGTCGGTGTCGGCGGCTCAATGGTGTGTACAGCATGATGCTTCGTGTGCTTGCCCTTGTGTGTCAGTGTCTTTTCGATGCGTGGCTGGCAAGTGCGATGTACACGCGTCAGCTTCTTGCCGGCGGCGGTGTCTTCGGTTGTTGAGCTCGCATCCAAGGTGTCGGCGGTTGTCGCATCTAAATATGTGTCACTGCTGCATGCAGTTGTTATTGTAATTGTGTGTGTTGACGGTGTGACAGTTGCTGCGGAAGTGAAAGCGGAAGCTGCGGAGGAAGCAGTTGGAGCGTTGGTAGCGGCATCAGCTGTGGCCAAGATTGATTGTGATGAAGGACGTACATTTTCGGCATTGTCATTGTTTCGCAGTATGCCTTCAGCTATTGTTGTTGCTGCTGTTGTTGTTTTGGTTGACTCTTGCTGCGGTGGCTTTTGTGTTGCGGTTGCGGGTTTTATTGTGTGCAACTTATCCGTCTGCGCTGTTGTTGGCTTACTGGTTGTAGTAGTAATAGTTTTTGTTGTGGTTGCTGGCATGTCTTCTGTACCAACATTAGTTGTCAGCATGGACATTTCTTTTGTTTGTGGGCCCCGCTTTACTGGCTTCTCAATTTCATGTCTTGAAGCGTTGTCATCAGTTTTTGTTGTTGTTGTTGCTGGTGCTTTTACAGTTGTTGTTATTGTTTCGGCTGTTGCTGTTGCATGCTGCTTGTTAACGTTGGCAGCCACTGTTGTTATTGGCGCTGTTGTAGTTGTTGTTTCTTCAGATTTTGTTGCTGTTGTTGTTCGCTCGACAACAACTTCTTTGGCATTTTCAATTTTCTCCGTAATTTCGTCTTCTTCGCTGGCAGCTTGCGCTTGTCTCTTCATATTATTCGGCTTGTCATTGTCTTTCTGTTGTTGTTGTTGTTTTTGTTGTGGTTGGTGCTGATTTGTCTTTGCCGCACTCGTGCTGTCAATTATCTGAGCGGTTAGCTGAGCTGGTAATGTGGATTTATCGATCGCCTCGCCTGTCAATCCATCAATGTTGGTGGTTGTCTCGGATGCTGCCGGTGCTGCTGTTGTTGTTTTTGTTGTTGCCGCTTTTATTGCTGCCATTGTGGCGGTCACCGTTATTGTGGTCATCGTCTCAACGTCAGTTTCAGCACTTTTCTCGGCCATTGTGTGACTGTGTGTTGTTTCTGTGGGCGTGTAGTTGCTTGTGCTGCTGGAGTGTACTGTACCCTCAATCGGTTTGCCTTGAGTATAACAGATGAACACAAAAGGATGGTGGTTAGATTAATTCAGTTGGATATAATGAATTTCATTTGACCCCAAAGGGCCAGCGGTCCATCGAAGGAGAAAACTTAGACTCAACTCGTTCCCAATCAGATGTAGGAGGAACAACACTGACTTTTTCTTGCGCGCTCATTGCCTTTGGAATTTCTGGTGATTATATTTTAAACTGGCATCCAGAAACCCAAACCCCAATACTTAAAATGAAAAAGAAAAAGGACCGCGCTGCTTTCTTTTTCTACAATGGTCTTGGTTGCCATATCTGCGATTATGGAGAGTTAGCTGGCCAATAATATCTCAGAGAGTCATATTTTATCTTCGAAGCTTGATCAGGCCATTTGCAAGTAAAGCTCTGTTACCTCCTTTTAACTTTATTTTCTTTAAATGTCGACCCAAAATTCAGAGACTAGCAATACGGCCATATATTGGCGAGGGAGTTGTGGGTGGAAAGAATCCTTTGGAAGTGTCCCATCCTTCTTTACGGATGGGTCAAAGCTTGAGCGAAGATGAGTAGAGGGATTTACTCTCAGAAGCTTACTATCAACTCCAGCTTCAGACTTCCATGACTATTTCAGGGTCTTCCAAGTCAAGTTTGCAGCCGTTGAGGTCGCAGTAGATCTACTACTCTGGTATGCGGCCTTCTTTAGAGAAACCATTCACGCGATACTGGCCTTGAAGTCATTAACAGTGCGTTCAGGGTTAGTCGAGGAGTGCATAACCTCGCTATCAATAGCACCGAGTGTCTTCGCAAATTCCAGGAAATTGCAAAGCTGATGAGTCAGCAAGGAAAGTCACCTTAGAACCCTTATCGGTAGAATGAGAGCGGGTCGGTGTCTCCGAATCCACTTGTGTTACTAGATAGCGGATAGAGCTGGGTCAAGAGCAAGAGCTCTAGAGAGATTCTTGCCATCAGTCTAGTCTCGCCCTAGTTGTGGGTTTTTTATGAGGTCATTGATCTATTAGCTTTCATGCTGTTGAGTTGGGAATTTTACCAGACGCCATCTGCATAAGCTGTATGAAAGCAGATTAGGTGGAAACAACTCAATACATCCTTCTTGAATGTCCTCCGTTTTGGAGGTCAAGACCTAAATCACAGACATCCCACCGAACTAACTTCAAACTTACCTGTAGTCACGTGAATATCTCCACGTCCATCATGAGCAGCGGATCCCACATTCGAACTACCGCTGTGATGTTCGTGTTCATTGTGCTTCGGCGGGGGTACATAATGCGACTTCACCAACAACATTGGCGGTATAAAATGCGAATTGTCTGCTAATTCCTTCACATGAGGATGTGGTAACTCTTCGAATTTACTATTAGCGTGCTGCTGTTGTGGATGCATGGGATGACCGATATTCGAAAGAGATTCAGTATCTTCGACATCAATGGATTTAGGTGCCGCATGTGTTGTTACCGAGCTGCTGGACGATGTGGAGGAAGAGTGAGTAAGAGTCTCGGACTCGATTGTATGCGCAGATGTGGCACTGGAAGCATGTAGGGTGGTAGCTGCGGCAGGTTCTTGGGTAGTTTCTGCTGTTGAAATTTTCACTTCTGTGGCAGTTGTGGATGAAACAAAGTCTGGAATTGTAGTACTGCTAGCCGCACTTGATGACGCTGCTGCTGTTGTAGAGGTTGTTGTGGTGGTAATAGTTGTAGTAGTCGTTGTTGTGGGCGCTAATGTAGTACTACTGCTAGTAGTTGTAGTTGGCGCTGACGTAGTTTCGAATGTTGGCATTCTCTCAGCCTTGTGCGCTGGTTTTTCTCTGCTTATCATCTCGTCCGAAGACTTCTCGGTTATGGGTGTCATTGTTCGCAAATCCTGTGGTAACACCTTCTTCTTATGTGGCAGCGGTTCCATTATTTCATTCGAAACTTCATCATCTTCAGGTCCCATATGCTCCAACATTTCAGGTTCGCCGCTTTGTTGTGGCTGATCGCCCATCATCATGTCTTCGAGTGCCAACAACTGTTGTTGCTTTTTTGGTTTGGGTGTTGGTGGTGGCAACTGAATGCTACCCTCATCATATTTCTGTGCAGGAATCTTCTTTTGGTATTCCCCACCATTTGTTATGATCACTTTCTTTGCGGCTTTCTTCACTGGTTTGGGGATCTCACCGGGTATGTGATAAATGCTCATCGGCACTGCTGCCTCATCGGCCTGCATCAGATCGTCCACATTGAATTGTTCAATCAGGCGCTGTACGGTATTCTTCTCCGTTGGCACTTGTTCAGAGATGTCGCTGCTGCTGGCAGAGCCGTACGATGTTTCTCCTAGCGGTAGCAGTTCAATGTCATTATTCTCGTTGTTGTCTGTGCGTATACTGTTAATTATTTGTAGCGATTTGAAGTGAGAATTAGTTATGTCATTGATGCGTTGCGCTTCGAGACGCTCTCGGGGACAGATCAGTTCACGTAGTGCGCGATCGCGGTCCTGTGGAAGAAAGTGATAAAAGTATGAGATATCTTGCGATTAGCATTGCCCGAATTGCGAAGACTTTAGTTCATTTAGGGTAAAGGTATTATTAGTTTGTGAAGGTTTTGCAGATGAAAATGACAACCCTTTAAGGTGTTCGATCAAAGAAGCAATATGGAGCCTTTTCAAAAACTTTCTCGAAACTTGTGAAGAGTTTCTGTTTGTAATTCTTTAAGAAGTAAATAAATTTTTTAAGATTCGCAAGCTGAGTCTAAAAATTGGTATTTAAATTGGTTTAAAACATATTTAGGCTTTTGAAACGAAATCAAAGTGTGCGAGAATTCGAAAGTGACCACATCACAGTCAACTAAGTTTCCATATCTGATTCAAAGGGCAACTTTCGCAGTCATGAATTTCGGTGCTACTTGCAACAAGACATTCAGTGCCTTTGTTGGTGTGGTTCGAAGTACACCACAAATACTGATGAGGACAGCCCGTTGAACACGCGCCAATTTTTTCTGGAGAGTAGTTTGGTCCAGCTTCTTCAATCAAACCAAATTTCCTTAGAACATTATAGGCTTAACTTTGGTTTCATTGAACCAAAGAAACAGTTTTAGTTAGAGCCCCACCTGCCTTACTGTCCAGGATGAACCCTAGGCATTTAACTATGTCAAAAATCCGAATACGCATTTTTTCCATTGATGGTTGATGTCCTGCCGTTGTTTTGTACTTCCTTGTAAATAAAACTAGTTCGGTTTTGCTTGTCTATGATTTATGGAGAGGCCGTTTTCAGTCGTCCTTTTGACTTACTATACTTTACGACACTAAGGTATCCATAAGTTAATTATTTCACGGTATACAGAAAATTTCCCTTAACCATGAGAGCTAAATTGTCTGTGTAAGCAAGTATCCAGGAGCCGACTTCATCAAGCTTTCAAGAAGATCATTGACAACAACGATGCGGAGAAGTGGCGAGAGAAATTCCTCTTTAGGGCCGGCTCGACTCTAAACCACTCCGTCCCGATTGTTCGATCAGAGAGAAGTTTAATTATGAGATGCTTAAGATTCGATTCAACTCATTTCTGTTAGACAACGATAGAGGAAAATATCGTATTTTTTACCATAGTTTTCTCGGGAATGTTGTAGACGTTAACAGAGCTGAATTGCGAACAGAATAAAATTGAAATGAAAAGGATTATTTGTGCAGTTTAGTGCTGGTTTTTTAAGGACTTATCTTGTTATGGTTTAGTCGTTCTAAGGCCTTGGTGTAACAGATGGGCTGAAAAATCGGTGTTGTGTTACAGAAGTTCAACTTTTCGACACTAATTTTGAAGGGTTATGAGTATGTTGCTTTAAAATTTGCCTAAGTCTTGGCAATATCTTTCCAGCGAAGACTCATTTGAGCTCTGGGAACGGGAAAACTTCAAAAACTCCAACAATTTTAATGCAGAAGTTGTAGTGTTTTCTTGTCCTTTTCAGCTTGTCGGGTATTTTTTTCTTTGGAAATGTTGGAAATGGAAGTTAGGACAAATTTATACTTAGAAATGAGATTCGAAAGGTCTCAGAAAGGGTTACGTCCAATTTATATAGACATCAAAAAGTATAATTTCATTTCTACCAAGAAATATTGCGCCTTCCATCAACGCAGCTCTAGACGTGGGACTAAAAAGCTGACAAGTTTCTCAATAACAAGTTACAAGTTATTTTTCCCGCGTGCAAATTCACTAACTGTCTTTATGTCAGAAGCAAATACCAAATTTAAAGAACATTTTTGAGTATTGTGGTTTTGGACCTTAATATTTCTCTTTCAATGGATCTCTCCACTCACTTACCTGTTTCCCCTTGCACGACTGCTTCAGCAGACCCTCCTCGGCGCAGTTGCGTATCAACTCAATGCTTGCAGTGTCGGCCATGTACTGCATGGTAAGATTCGGCATATCCTTGAGTATGCAAGAATCAGCCCAAGAAGGCACTGAAATCGCATAAAACGAAAACAAAGAAATGGAGAAGACAAGCAAATAATAAATTAAAAGAGATTTATATTTTCACTGTGAACATTCATTACTGAGAAATCAAAGACCAAAAAACATCACTCAATACGGCATAACATCTACTTACCCGGCATTTCGCAGAGGAACGATGCGGTCTCAGGTCCGCCGCAACGCAACGCATGCCAGCGATAATCGCGTATGGGATCGATAACGGCGCATAATGGTGCATCCATTAGTGGCAGCGATTCAGCCCAGTAGCCAGTGTCGGTGACCAGTGGACGGGAATTACTAAATGTAAAGAGAACGTATATTTAAGTGCAGGCGGTGTAGGTGGGGGAAGAGCGAGAAAGTTGTAAAGTTCATCAGCAAACACTGCAAATGCACCGTTGTAACTGGGTGCTACACCACTACATGAAAGTATGTGTGGCTGTATGTGCGTTGCTATTAGAAAACACATAAATTGCGGTCTACTTTTAGGCGGACAGCGTATTGTATGAAACCTCATTGCAATGGCGGCGCTTAGAAACTGCAATGCTTTTAGGCGTTTCAGCGTATTTCACTCGTAAGCCTTAATGGCTGGGGCATGACCTGGTAAACACGTAGCGCAAACAAACACACACACGCGATCCCCATGCAGAGTGCATATGTGTGATTTCAATGCGCTTTTAAACGATGCTTGGCACGTGTTTGTGTTGTTTATTTGGGTTAGCGTTTCATTCACCGTTAGAAGATGAATGGCGACTGCACTCGATTCGAGTGCTTGGCTTGTTTGACTCGTTTAATTTTTCTTTTTGGTGTCTGCTGTCTATTTGCTTTAAATGCAGTTGATAAATGGAACTTGGAAAGTAGGTAACCCAAAGATTGCAAGCGAAAATAATTAACAACATCAATTAAACTGAATTGATTGGTTGGAAATGAAAATTGAAAACGCAATCGCAACAATAATTACTGACAACTTTAAATTGTGATTAATGAATAAATGAATTATAAGTCAGTTGATGGAGAATTTTTTCAATCTAAAGGGTCCATTTCGCTATGTGTTATTATTCCTCTCCTGAATTCCTTGAAAGGTTCAGTTACCATTTTCGTTCTTATCGGCGTATCAGTCTACTTCCAACACTTGGAAAAATACAATGACTAGAGGAATTTGGTGTCCGGAAATTACGCTTTGGCAAAATTCGACCTTTCTACCCTTGGTATGAATGGGCCTGTGGAAATCTGCTTTCCACAGGCATCTACCTGTTATCCATCTCATGATGGACTCTCTGCTTGGCCAACTCCTTGCGCGTATGCGATCTTACTTAGAGCGGGCGGGAAAATAATATTTGAGAGATTATAAATAATTGGGTTTTAGGTTTGCTGGTTGACACAACGGCGAACAAAACGTCAACAATTATAGTAAATTTGTTTTATAAGACACGATTTTTTTGTTTTTTAGAAATCCATTTAAACAAATTATTTAGTTCATAGCACATTGTTTGGTATATATTTTCAGTACTTACGACCACATAAAACGGTCGGAACTTTGCGGTCTCATTAAACCAATCCAAACGATGTCATTCACATCAAGCTCACGGAGTAGATCTCTTGTTGCATCAAATTGAAAGCTGTTGTCGACTGTAAGTAAAGATTGAAAATTTTGTAGTTATTTTTGAGAAGTTTTTTACTATAAATAGTGTTAAAATAACTTAATTATTATTTTATTCATTTAATGAGTAAGCTATCTCAATACTTTAAAGTATTGTACTGCAACTAATTTATTATTTTTCTTATATTATTTTGAAAAAATACACAGTTGTTTTGAGTTTAGAAGCATAACTCTTTCTGTAGAATTCGAATTCGAAATAATTAAAAAAAGGAAACAGTTTTTGAAAAAATAACGGAATAAGTGGGTTTTAAAGTGTAGTGTTAGCACATAGTTATTAGTAGTCTTGCATAAAATTATACTTAACAGACTTTTGCAAATATCCTATCGTTTTCATTAAAATGATCAAGTCATACTTGGCAGATGTCAAAATACAGAAACACGACGCTACCATTTAACGTTATTATATCAACATTTTTATTTATTAATTTTTGAATTAAAAATTTTACGAACACTTTCTAAGAGAAGATCGTTTTATATATGATTCCATGCTCCATGTGTTCGATGAACAGATTATCGTTCGTTTTTGAATAATGTTCTTCTTTTTTTGCTGTTCGGCGCTAATTGGGTATTCCAATTAAAGCCAAGCTCTTATGCACTTGATCCTTCCAAAGGAGTGGAGATTTTCCTCTTCCTCTGCTTCTACTTTAAGAGTTGGAGCGTAGTCGCTGTTTCGTACTGTTCACCATTCCATCGACTATTCACTTTATCTTCCGCAGTACTCTTTCCTAGAAAAGTCGTAATATGTTGTCATCGTCCATGTCTATGCCCCATATACCAAGACGGGGATGGTGCGTGACTTTTAGAATTTAGTCTACGTTCGTGTAAAGAGGGTGTTACTTTTCAATTGCCTACACAGTCCGAAATAGCACCTGTTGACAAGAGTTATTCTGCGTTGGATTTCGTGGCTGAAGTTATTGTTGGTATTTATTTCCCACGTTCAGTACCAGTACCAGACTTTTTTGCCCAATTTCATCGGCAGCTGCACACCATCATAGAAGATAGTACCTTCTCGATTTTTTTTCTATAGAAGGCTGAAGAAAATGCACCATAGCGAGTCACCTCGGAGAAGTCCTTTCCGATCCTGACGGAGCTTTTGGTTGTGGTCATCGTTAGTTTACATAGTCCTATTAGTTATGCGGGGATACTAAATTCAGACATAACGGCAAAAAGGCAGCTGTGTCGATCCTCTTTTCAGGGGCTTTTTCAACAGTTGCCGCATGGTCAACATCTTCTCGGTTGTTGATTTTCCATTGATGATGTGGCTCGATAGAACCTTATACGCGATGTTAAGGAGACTTATCCCACGGTAGTTCTGGGGAATCCCTTGTTGTGGATTGGGTAGAGCACACTTAAATTCCATTCGTCGGGCATGCTTTCGTCTGACCATGTGTACTGTTATCTTTAAAATAAATATATGTAAATACTCTAAATGACTTGCTTGGATAATATTTCCGGTACTGAACTATGAATTTATGTAGTGTCTAACCGCACATGATTTTAGACCTGTCGGTAACAAGCTTATCATTCCCACCATCATCATTTATGAATTACCTTTTTAAGGTTAATTTGTCACCGAGTCTCTCATGTCACTGTCAGCTTATTGTTGCCTTTTACTATTATCTCTTCCTTATCGTCGACAAAGTGTCAGTGCCACACCACAACAAAAAGGGAATAAGAGATATAAAGGAGGGTATGGCTATATTTGTTCATTTGTTCAATGTTGCTCTTTTGTCACTCGGTGCCAAGTCTGAACTATAAGTTGGTGAACCAAGTTAATGAAGCTTTTGGTGAGTCTCTATCCACATATGTGCACATTTCAACAGAATTTCTTTCTTGTTGGCCAAAGCTGGACGATTCTGTGCAGTTATTTTCTTCAAACACTTCAATTGTTGAAAATTAAGGTTCGGAACTTTAGTTGAAAAGTAGCTCATAATAAATGATTCGTTGCCAATTCCACTGAACACATTGAGGAGTCTTTCTTTTTTTTACAATTTGACGGATTTTCTCCTTCCTGGAACATATTTTTGATGCGTGCTCAAGCATCTCTTATCCTTATAACGACATTAGCAAGAGCCGATCGAATCTTTTGGAAAACAATATATTTATTTTTGTAAATGGTACGCTGTTTTGTCAGCATGGTGAGCTCAGAAAATTTGATATGACGATTAGTGAAAAAGAGAAAAATGGCATAACTGTTCCATTACAGTGCTTCCATGAGCGATACGGTATAAATCTTAGCTACTAAGTTGTTTAAGATGATAGAGGAAAGATGATGATGAAATCTTCTTTTGATTGGAATGAAACTATAATTGAACAACTGACCGAATCATATCAAGATATGAGGTTTTCCATTGGCCACTGTGGACAAGTAATTGCTATAAACAGATACCATTGAATCAATTCGCCATATAAAAAAAATCATTTATACCGCTGAATCATGCTGCTATGGTAGAAATATCGTCTAGCTTAATACAAAAACCAAGCAGTGGAAGCAAATGCAACAACAAAGGTCCAAAAAACCCTTGACTGATATCACATTGCGCGACCTTTGCTGAAATATTCAAATTATCGCAAGTCACTAACACACTTTCTCCCAGTTTTCTATGAATATTTTTTTCCACGCTTTGTGTCCTTCATCAAAGCCGCTGACACAGGCAAGCGCTGCCGGTTAGGAAGCTGTCACTATGCATTATTGCAGTTTGGCGGGCACATTGAAAACTCGGGCTTCTGCTACTGATAGGTCGAACGCTTTGCCGCTTTGTCGGCGCGTGATAGCGTTTTGGGCTGATAAAAATTGCAAACAAAAATTGATAAAAATAGAGCGAAAGCGGCAGGTTACTAAGGCGAGCAACCAGTTCAGTGGGTTTTCCAACAATTTTTTAACAAAATATGCCGCATGCATACATTAGTGCTACGTTCTTGTTGTTGGTGCATATTTTTTTCGCTATTTTGGCGCTGCGTTCAGCGGAGTGGAAAGCGCTCCTTTGCCTGCGGCCAACTGACGCGCACTCTCGGAGGTCAACAGGGCGTATGAATTCTAAATATAAACGAGTATTTTTTTCCGGCAACTCTTACAAGTGTCGATAGTCGTTTGCATGCAAGTGTTGGCGTGTGTGCTTATGTGCATATACATATGTGTGATTGTTTGCCTGTGTGCTTGGAGAGCTGTTGCGAGTAGTGGTTACAAGCGCTTGTCCTGGCAAATGCTTTTGTGTGCGTTCGTTCGTGTGTGTGTGTTTGTGTATAAATTTGCATTCGTGCGCGCTTAGAGTGCCTGTCTGTTTGCGCATTTTGTGTCGAGCATTTGCATATCTTGTTTATTTATTTTGCCAAAGCACACAGCCACCAGCTGCCGGGCATTTATTCACCGCATTTCCTGTCCTTCGCGTTTGCATTGCTCTCGTTTTGTTATTGTCATTTTGGTTTTGACAATTTTCCACATTTTTTATTTGCACTTTTTTGCGCTTTCGCCGCGAACATATTTGCATTTTTCATTTTTGTGTCACCACCTGCCGACTCGCCAATGTTTGCTTTTGACAATTCTATTTTCCTCTCACTTTTTTCGTTTAAAAAATTTCCTTTTTTTTCACTTTTCATGCTGTTCGTGCGTTTCGGCGTCTAAAAGTGATTTTCCTTTCAGTTGTCTTTCCTTGTCAGCCGCTGCTTTGATTTTGAGTTCAGTTCGGTTAAGTTTGATGGTCACATGCACTTCTTGGTTCTTAGAGTGGGGTCAAACTGTATTTAAGTGCTTCGCTAAGAAGTTCTGATTTGTTGTAGGATTTTTGTGAAAGTGCTGCTTTTTATTTGGTTTTCACTTTTGTATTTTGTGTAAGTTGAAATTGTTCAATTGTCTTTAAGTGTTTACTTACCGGTCACCAGATTGGCGTGATGAAATTGGCAAACAGCATCAGCCTCAAACCAAGATATTCGATCACGGAAGAAGCGATAGAAGACGTTGAGTCCCTCCTGCGGCATGGTCCAAGTGTTGCTGACATTGACCTGCAAGAGAGGAAGGAAAGTTGCTCTTTTCAAATTTAAAATTACTCCTTGAGATCTTCTAAAGATTTTTTAAAGTTAGTCAATATACATATCCCTTAGTAGGTTTCCTATGTTTACTATCAAAATTTCAAAAATTAGGAATTTATTCTATGTATGTATAGCTATGTAATAACTCAGTTTGAAAAAAAAAAACGCACCTTCCACAGGTACATTTTTTATATCACTAAACGGCACAAAAGGATATTTTTCTTCATTTTGTTAAAACAGTCTAAATGGCAATTGTATGATTTATTAATTTATAATTTGATCTGAAAAAATATATTCGGCGATTTTAGAGCTGCCTGATATAATAAACTATGCCGAATTTCATCAAGATATGTACCATGTAAATAAAAAAGTTTTAGATACAAATACTTCGATGTGTGTGGGTGACAATTCCTCTCCTACTGACAAAAACTGCCCGCTTTCTTTGAGCTGAATCGTTTCTAAGCCATTGCTTTCCAAAGATGGTTTAATGCTTGAAATTTCAGGCCCGGGTTAAGAGCTTGTTTGTAAGGGAACAGCTCTTTGTAGATGTTTTGCTGCAAAATTCGACCAAAAACTTAGCAAAATCTTTCTTATTGCCAATTCTGCATTGGTCACCATATGCGCACGTCCTCTTCGACATCGACTGTTTTCGCTTAGCGTTGTCTTAAGTGACTCACTTTTCAACTCTTTTAGCTATCCATTTCATAAATGGATCGATTTTGCAAAGCCTCAGTAGATATTCGCATTTTGAAATTATGGGCCCAATTTCAACTAAAAATTCACCACAATATCTTCGAATTAAATGAAAATCCTGAAACATCATCGAACGTCTCAAATGTAATTTCATTATAATTTTTAATATGGTTATATGAATGTTTGTAGCAAATGAATTTCCCGATACTAACTCAACAGTTATGGATAGAAAACCTAACTAGATAATACACAACGGTTGCTAAGTGAAATAAGAACATTTTTTACATTCAGAATTACAATATCTTGGGTATTGAGTTGTCCGCCCATAAGCCCGGACTCTTTTTACGAATAGCTTAGCGTAAATTACGCATAACATTCAAATAGTTTCTTTGTTGACTGTCCGTAAGAGTTCGGAGTGCAGCAAAACTCGATATTGGAACAAAACTGTCAACATAACCGATCGTCTATTTCCGGGTCGTTCGCATAGATGCAAGACTCATTGCCAGTAATATTGTACTTCATTTCATGATATCCTAGTAGTCGGAATGCAATATTTCACAGACGTTAATGCGACTCTGGATGTCGAAATAAATTGATTAATTTTGGAGCCAATCGTGTTTTCCATTTTATAAGGACCAAATCATATTTCGAAATGGTTTTCACTGATCACTATCCAACTATGTCAGTAAGATCTCTGACTGTTAATCGTAAATTTTCAAACACTAATTTCTTCACTTTATTAACGTTTTGATTATCAGTTGATGTTGGTGGCCGTCCTGGACGTGGCTTCTCGTCAACGCGTTCTCGACACTTTTTGATTAATTTGTATCAATCAAAAAGACCTGCTCGCGACAAACAATTATCACCGAATACCTTTTTCGAACATTTTGAACGTTTCGGCAACAGAATTTTGCTTCCGCACACAAAACTTAACAGAACCTTTCTGTTGAATAATATTGCTCATCGTAAAACTCGCTGAATTAAGCACTTCAGAAAGGCCGTATACCAAACACTATTGATTATTTCGATAAAGAATTTGCACAGAAATCACTGACAGTCATACCATCGACAAAAAAAAAAAAAAAAAATAAAAATTTTTCACGAATGAGTTTTGGCGCGAAATTGAAATTTAAAAGTCTTACTACTTTTGGCCCACAGTAATTTGATCTCGAATAATTTGGGTTCATAAAGCTTGAGTTTACTAAAGTGAAAGAAGCTGAAGCCTCTCAAAATGATTTTCTGAAAAGATACACGAAGATGTGAGCTATTTTTACTCGGAAAAAAAATATTTGAAAAGGGTATACAAATATGCAGACTTGTATCAACTTATTATGGAAACTAGTTATACATATAAAAAATGTCACTTCAAAGAGGACATCGTATGGAGAGACCACTTTTGCACCGTCTAAATTTCGAATTTCGTATAGGAGTTGTTTTGTGCATATGTCAAGTAGATAAGTTTATCCACAATCTGTTCAATAACAATTTTAATACACGAAGGCAATAAATTTCCACTACGTTTTTAAAAAAATATGAATAAGTAATAAACGAGCGGTGTAGTGGAACTTCTGACTGCGGGTATGAAACGGAAAACTCGAACTTTTTACAAAGCAGTCATTATATATAAATTTCGTAATAACAAATTGCAAAGTTAATTGGGGCAATTAAAATTGTAATAAAAGAACCGTAATAAACTTCTTCACTTCTGAGGTTTAATAAACTTGCTTAAACGAGTGCGTGTGTACGGGAGGGTGGAGAGTACACAACAGACAACACAAAAAACTTGCTGAACTCGTTTGCCTTTGGCAATCATTATTTAACCCTTTGCTATTGTACTTATGTTTACATTATTATACTTAATTTCCGACAATCGCCGTTTTTGCCTGCAATTCTTTGTAATTATTTTTTTGTTTTTATAATTTATCGTGCTGTTAATTTCAAAACGTACTTTTTGAAAGTTTTTCTGGCTTTATAAAAAAAAAAGATGAATTGAGAAAAAAAGAAAAAGGTAGAAATGAAAGGGAATGCAAAATAAAGTGTTGTATAAACAAAGAGAAAAGGAAATCAACAAGCGAATATGTTGTTGTTGTTGTTGCGTTTGATTGTAAAAGTACCCAATACATATGTAAGTCTACAAGAAAAATTACTGTAACATGCTTAATCCCAGAACTTTGGATTACAAATAATTTATTATATGAAAGCTGAATCAAAAAGAAGCAGAAAAGAGAACCAGAAAAAATAAATAAATAGAAAATAAGTAAGTTCAAATAAAAATATTAATTGTGATTCTAGGAATTATAAGCGGCAACTCGCACAATTTTTTATGTCGTGAAAAAAAAAAACTTCAGAACCGTGCATTTCTCCAACTTGACTAAAACCCCTCTGTTTATCTGGTTGTTCTTCTGTCTCATTATCTTTGCAGCGTACTTCATCTTACTTCCTCATTTCATGCAAGAGGTTTACCCAAGCCTTCTTCATTTAATTGTGTGTTGTTTGTGCGCTTCTTCATTTTTCCTGAAGATGGTAATTAGGCAAATACGATTGCTTCAACTCCCTGCAATTGCGGCGGCGGTTGCTGTCGATGCTGCAGCAACTTTTCACGCCTTATTATTTTTGCTGTTTTTTTCGCTCAGTCAATTAAATTGTTGGCAGTGTTGTTGTCTTAATTAAAATTATCAAAATACTTGATTAACAGGAAATGAAAGCTAGCGTATGTATCTGAAGACGGGAGATAAAGGAAACTTTAAGAAGAAAGGTTAATATATGTAGTTACAATACGATAAGTGGTTGTGGGATTTTTTCGTTGCGCACAACTTTTGAGATAATAGTGAAAGCTGTTGGGAATATTTACAGGTTTCTAGGGTTTTTGAGCCTTTAAGGGAATAAAATTAATAGTCAGTAAAATAAAATAAATGGTTTGAAGAAGGGAGTGAAAAAGAAACAACAACTGAAAATCAATCTTTAGAAATTTCATATTTTTCTGGGGTTACCACCAGATATGAATAGTATGCTTGAGACAAAAATTTATCTAACATTTTTATACTTTTAGCAGAGTGTATTAAGTTTAAAAAAGTAATTCGCGTTACGAGATGAGTCTGTCAGTATATGCGCGAATTAATCCCTCAGTTTTTCAGATAATGTTCTCAAATTGTGAAAACTTAATTTTTTTTCTCAAGAAGCACCTTTTTTCGAACGAGAAACTATCGATTATAGAAAACATTCAAATTAAAGAATCAAAATCAAGTCCACGTATGGAAATCGTTGCTATTTGACAAGATAATTTCGAAAAATTTGGCGTGGATTAGTGTATAAAGCAATGCTACAATCTTTGAACAATATGTTCAGATTGAATTAAATATCTTTGGGGTGGTTGTTTTGGTTTTGGTTCGCTTTTTTTCCTCCAAAACTCATAAGCCCATGTTTCTTCCGCAGTTAGAATGCTCTCGGGACGAGTGGAGTCGAACTTAAACACCGTGAGCCTTTCCCAACATTCTCAACGATTCCGCACACGAAATTTCGTTAGAAATATAAAATTTAAGACAAATTCATTGTTCGATGTTTCTATCCATTGTAAAAATCGAAGCGCACCTTTGAGATGTACCAACTTAAGCAACTGCTGTAAACAAGTAATTAAAGACAGTTGAACTAACTTATCAAAATAATTTTTTTTTGTTTTGAAATATCATTTAGCCGGGGAATTTAAATACAATTTTCCGGGGGTCGCAATATATGTAACTTCTGTAGAAACTGACCGATGCAAGTCTGATAAAAATATTATATGTGCACATGAGCCTGTGCCTATCCGAAACCATGTTCAATAATGTCGAAATGTTGCATTTATTAAGCATCGCCTCTTTATGACAATCTGGTTGGTTTCACGTACTCAAAACTGATTCATAGTAGTTTAATGTCGTAAGCGCATATCAAGAGTACTGCGACAGCAGACGACGTTCATATTTTTGAATTTAAAGCAAAACCTAAAGCAGTTTTTCCGGGCATTGCGGACGCTTGGGAGCCTCATGAAAATGACTACATATGGTTGGTTGTAATACTAGTGGATCCGGCCACGGTTGGCTGTAATATTCAATGCATTAAAATTTACGAATAAAGGCAAAAACGTTTTTTCTGTATAGTTAATAGAGTTGGCCGCTTAATAGAACGTCCATTTAATAGAGCTTCAGTTTTTTTTTTTTGTTTTTAGTTATTTTTACTATCTTATCTTCCAAGTTGGTCCGAACTGGATACATTGTGCTAAATTTTACTAAAATCGGTTCAGTAGT